AAGTAAGTTTAGAAATTCCAATCGGACAAGCTCGGGAAAGTTACTATGGATTTCTTAGATTTGTTTGAAATTTTTCTTTACTTTCAGTACTTGTTTTTCCTGTCTTCTTTCTCACTCCAGACACCCTAGGTTTTTCCCACTGACTGTCTTTCATTTTGTCAGGTTCATAATACAGCCAGTTTTGGATCCTCCACCTTAAATGTAACTTTCCAACTTCAAGATTTTAACATCAAGCTGTAACATCAAGAATTCCTCCAGCCCTTAGAGGGATGACTTATCTATGGCTCTTCTATCTCTTTATATCTGTCATGCTGAAGACTGTATTGTTGTCCAAAAGTTTTTCTCTTAATTTTTTTTTCCCTCATCCTTCCTCTGATTTCACATACAGACTTGTGATTTACTGGTTACTTCTTTCTAAAATATATCTTAAATTCTAATAGGGTTATTTGCTAGTCTAATTTTTACTTCATAGAGGTGCCTTCAGAGCAGAGAGAAGTTATTAGTTGTAAAATCACCTTGAAACACTTCCATGGAGACAGGGTGGGGAGCACAAAAGCCTGATAAGACACTAATGGAATTAATTAAGAGCTCAAAGAAAGAACTAGGAAGTACAGACAGAAGATTTTCTTCTAAGACCTCTACAGTGTGCTAATTTAACACATTTTCTAATTGTATGGTAAATTTAAAAAACAATTACCCCAACAAACTAGTGCTAATAAAAGTTGGTTGTTAAAGTATTCAGATGTAGCAATTCAGATGTACTATTCAGATGTAGTTTTACTTTAAAAACAAGTAAATGAATGAAATTAATGCAATTCACTGCCAGGACTGTGGTTTCATACTCCGGTTTCTCTTCAGATCATATAAATCTTTTGCCTTTTACTAAAGATTTCCATGGAGAGGAACAGGCACAAGGCTCCATCTCGGGGGTTTTTTTTTAATATTTCATGACTCCAGAAAGATTTTTGAGTCATTGTAGATATTCTCTATCTCTGTCCAAGATGCTTCCATGTCTTGAATACTACATGCAGGTGAGATCACACCAGCTTTTTAAAAATAAGATGTAATAAATCTAGAAAAGTACAGAGAAGGATAATGAGGATGGTCTTCAGCTTTTAAATTGAGGTGACTTAGGAGGAGGCTAAGACGGAGTTACATGAAATCAGAAAACATGTGAGAAGCTGAATAATAAAAGACTATTTTACTTCTTCCACCGTAAGAAAAGGAGAACACTCATTCAAATCAAATTGGCTTAGTTTTAAGACAAATTAATGGAACAAAATTCCTATGAGGGCTGATGGTTTAGATGTAGCTTCCAGCCCCAGAGGTTGTCAAAGCTTGGAAAGCAGGCAGGAAGTATAAGTGCTCCGTATGTGATCTGTTCCGTACTTACTTCTCAGTCATGTGCTGCTGATCCCTGTCAGAGGCAGGGTTCTAGTGAAATGGACCTTTGATCTAACCTGGAGCACTCACTCATATGCCCCTAACGTGCCATAATCTGAATGGGGTTTCAGAAGCAGTTTGCAAATAACATAAGGAGGAAGGAAATTCATATAGACTGGTGGTTAAAACCATCTGTGCTACCACTTCACGGTTTTATTCCAGAAGGGAAGGAGCAAGCATCTCAAGCATCTCTGAGTATAAGCAGTGGCCTAATGTCCTTAGCTGCGTAATCTTACTTCTGTAATCCTATTTCCTGCAATTCCACTGTTAAAATACATATAATTTTAAAGCACTCACTCATATGCCCCTAACATGCCATAATCTGAATGGGGTTTCAGAAGCAGTTTGCAAATAACATAAGGAGGAAGGAAATTCATATAGACTGGTGGTTAAAACCATCTGTGCTACCACTTCACGGTTTTATTCCAGAAGGGAAGGAGCAAGCATCTCAAGCATCTCTGAGTATAAGCAGTGGCCTAATGTCCTTAGCTGCGTAATCTTACTTCTGTAATCCTATTTCCTGCAATTCCACTGTTAAAATACATATAATTTTAACAGTATTAAAATATAAAATGTTCTTGATTTGCCTTGTGCTTATGCTTTATGCTTATGACACTAACCCCAGTTTACTTCATTGACTGTTTCTCTTACAGCTTATATTAGACAAGATTATTATGTTCCTGTTTTACACTTGGAGAATCAAAGCTGCAGAAGTGACATCTCTGGGTTTATACATAAATACCCAGTATGGCAAGGAATAAAATGAAGTCTGTTCTAATGCTGAGGGCCGTGAAGGCAATCAGGAACATCCATCCACTTTCAGTTGTTGAAATCTTGCATAAGTGTAGTTCTGCTGCTTCCTTTAAGGAAGATCAGATTTCTTGGAGACCTTATTGCAGCCTTCTAGTACCTGAAGGGGCCACAAGGAAGCTGGGGGGGACTTTTTACAAGGGCCTGTAGTGACAGGACAAGGGGTAATGGGTTTAAATTGAAAGTGGGGAGGTTTACACTGGACATCAGGAAAAAACCCTTCCCGGAGGGAGTGGTGAGGCACTGGCACAGGTTGCCCAGAGAAGCTGTGGATGCCCCATCCCTGGGAGTGTTCAAGGCCAGGCTGGATGAGGCTTTGAGCAACCTGGTCTAGTGGAAGGTGTCCCTGCCCATGGCAGGGGGGTTGGAACTAGATGGTCTTTAAGGTCCCTTCCAACCCAAACCATTCTGTGATTCTATGACTTGTACACACCTGGTCATATTCCATTCTAATATCCTTAAGTTTTTAATTCCTTTACCCAGTAACCTATTAACTATATGTAAATAAATTACTAAGAAAATTAATAATTTCCTTAGTACAAATTCTTAAGCTGTGATAGATTGTACCACTTGTGTCTTTTTCTGTCTTATGCAAGTTTAAAAAAATTTTTAATAGGAATCAAATATTGGATGTTCTGCTGCCACAAACAAGTCACAAATCATTATAAACTAAGTTATTTTCTCTTGACCATGTGCTGCTTCAAGGTTATGAATACCTGCTTTAATCAGATCAGCACTACTGTAAAATAGGTGAATATTAGAAACTTGTCTAGTGCAGAGGTACCAGAAATATTATTTGTGAACAACTTACCGTATGTGAAATACATGTGAGTAACAAAGCTATTTTGTCTACAGAACTTTTCACTCAAAATTTAAACAATAGTTGTATTTCAAAATACTTAGTGACTTTTTTTCCAATGGAAAAACTTGAAAAAATAAAATATGGTATTTAGGTCACTGATGATGCTTATTTTTGCCTCCTAGACTTTCCTTTTGCAGAATGTTGAGTATATTTCTATCAAGAACTGAGAAGGATGAACATGTAAAAGATTTTCCATTATTTATTGTTTCTTTTTACAGAATAATATTTTTGATTTATGAGGCTGTTGTTTTGGTTTTATGATTTTATTTTTTTTGATTTATGAGGCTATTGTTTTGGTTTTATGATTTTATTTTTAATTAAGTTCAGCAGTTTTGGTTGACCTGTGTTTCTGATAGTTTTGAAATCTAACAGTTGTGCAAAAAGAACTGTTTATTTTGGAGGAAATCTCTTAAACCAAAAAAAGTCTATAACCCTAAGGGTAATATGCTGTTACGGTTAAGCCTCTTTCTTCCTATACAAATGTTAAATTGATGTAATTCATCAGATTAGATCTTGATTTTACACTAACAACATGGTTCACAGAGGATGTGTTGTACCTCTTTGAATTAATATACATTCTATAAAGAGAAAGAAAATTATGTTTTGAATAGCTGCCAAGGGACTGTTTTCAGAGCACATTTTTTCACTTTAAAACCATGTATGGAATTCATGTCAGCATGGAGTTGAATCTGCAGGACGGTGAATGCAAGGATTAAACTGCTCTAGTCCCAGTGAAAACCCTGATAATGTCAGTGAACTTCTGAGGAGGCAATAAATTGTAGTTATTGGGGCACATAAATTCATCATATAATTAAATGTATTATGGTAGATGAGAAGAAAGCTAATTTGTAGAGGTTAAAGACATCAACTTTACATCTCTCATTAAGTTTCATGAAAAAGACAAAGTGGCATTAAATTACAGAAGATGAGTAACCAAAGGGCAGTTTACTCATGGATCATTGCTTCACTACATGACTCAGTTCATAATGGGAAGGAGTATTTTTACCTTCCGTCACCCCCTGAAATCCATCCCCAGCCTAAAGTGACTCAGCCCGGACCATCTGACAGCTGTTGGGTGTTCAGCTGTGCGGTGGGTCGAGGGGGAAAGCGCCGCCGGCAGACAGGTGTAGAACACCCACGGCTGTAGGATTTGGAGGTCATGTCAGGGAAGTTGAGGATTACGTGAGTGTGTCTTTTGAACTAGCCATTTACTGACAAATCTCAGAGCAGAGCATGTCTTTTCTTTAGTCTCTGCTCATGGAAGGAGGGTCAGGCTGCCCATCAGTGAAGAATGCGGAGCGGTAGTTGGGTGTGCGTGATATGTGTAAATGGATGTACAGCCAGGTGTTGCCAATGCTGCCAGCTGCAGGTGATCCTGTCCACAGGGGGATTTTGAATTATGTTAGTGATTATCAGCACTTTTCTAGCATGGATAATGTCTGAATGCTCTGAGTGGGTCAGATGTGGCAGTAGTCTCCAATCTGGTGTGGGTCTAGCGTGGCACTCCAAAGCCCAGTTTGACTCTGCCTTATCCTGTTGTCCTCATTAGGTGGGATGTTGCATTTTTCTAAATAATGTTTGTCCTACATCTTTGCAGCAAACCTAGTCTATTATTTTAAGGTTGTTAGTGCGTTTTTCCTTGCTATATAAGACATTCTTCACAGAGAGGGTGCTGAGGCTCTGGAACAGGTTGCCCAGAGAAGCTGTGGATGGCCCATCCCTGGATGTCTTCAAGGCCAGGCTGGATGAGGCTTGGAGCAACCTGGTCTAGTGGAAGGTGTTCCTGCCCATGGCGGGGTGTTGGAACTGGATGGTCTTTAAGGTCCCTTCCAACCCAAACCGTTCTATGATTCTATGATTCACAGCTCTATTTTATATTTTACAGATAACCATTCAAAGGGACAGTGGTTTGGATGTCAGTTCCCCCAAACATGGAAAAGTGGATCCACACAACATGCCGCATGTCGGTGGAAATACTTGGGCTGGTGGAACAGGTATTTCATTCTTAGACATCCTTCAATGATGCATTAAAAAACAAAGGGAGATGCTGTGCCAGACAAAAATGGATTTGTACAAGGCCACTCTCTGCTTACAGCTCTTTTACTCAATACAGGGTCACTTTATTGCTGGTGAAAGGAAGTATTTGTAGTGTTTAACTTAAACTGTATGTAGCAGATGTCTACTTCAATTACATTTTGTTGCAGTTTCTTTTCATTTGCCATGCAGAGAACCAGAAGCTTGCAGTCACAGAAACTAGGCTGAGGCATTCGCCACTCTCTTAGGTGTCTGTAGCCACAGCAATTTAGGTGGTGTGGGCAAGAGGCCCACAGAACAGGCAAAGGGCCTCCTAATTCTAAACGGGCATGATAGTGACCACTAGATAAAGGTGTTTGGGAACAGTGTAAACCAACAAATTGTAGGGAGAAGAATGAGGTCTGAAATGAATGGCTTTAAGGACCAGAGGCTTTGAGGAGGTGTACAAGATTTATATAATCTGTAGTACCTTTTGTACATTGTGGAAACCATTATGAACCCGGTCTCAAGGGACTATAAACACAAGTATTCTGTTGGAGTTCCTGAACGTGATAGCGGTGGTTTTGAAACTCTTTGGCAGTAAATATTTCTGCTGGGGATGGTTGGCAAATTTTTTTGGGACATCTGTAGGTATGACAATGGAAGCTTTAAAGAAAATGCATTCTTATTTGTTATCAAATGCATAATCTTAATTATTCCTTACCTCAATCATGTTAGGTGGGAGAGACACTGCTGGGTTAGGTGGCAAAGGTGGGCCCTATCGACTGGATGCTGGCCACAGGGTTTACCAGATATCTCAAGCTGAAAAGGATGCTGTTCCTGAAGAGGTTAAGAGAGCTGCTCGAGAGATGGGTGAAAAGGCCTTTAAACAGAGGTAACGGGCAAGTCTTCATTTTCCCTTCCATTTCCCAGAAGAATTTGGAAAAGATGGCTAAAAAGAATTTTCTTCCTTAACTGTATTTATCAACTGCCTTACCCTCATCATGATCATTTAACAGAACTTACCAGCATGTGTTTAACTGTTCTGGACAAGATGTATAGAATGGTTTATGGAATTAAGCCACACTGTTAAAATGACACTGTTAAAATGGGTAGAATAAAACATAACTAGGTGAATAAGGAGACTGATGTGAACATTTATCTTTTTAAAAAAGGGATCTAGCATATGAAAATTTCTTTGAATTAGGATGATTCCGGGTTGTATGTGGTTAGGAATTAATTTGTCAAATGTCTTTCAAAATGGACCATTGCAAGCAAGTCGCTTCTGTTTGAAAGACCTATAGCCAAACGTCGAGGTGATTTGAACTATTAGAGCTCAGCAGAGACTTCTACACAACCCACGGATCTTCCCAACATTTGTGTGATGCATAGTTACTGATCAACTGTTTCCCTGTGCGCAGAGATTCAGATTTCTTCCACTGCCTGAACTCTCTCAGGTCAAACTCTGGTACTTTGTGTAAAAACATCAAAGTGTATTGACAGCCATACCAAGCAAACGTTATGTTTCAGCCCAGGACCTATTGCAGTGCGAGTAGCTGTCTGAAAGTAGAGAATACTAGACATAGATTAAAATGTCAGAGCAAATAAATTTAGAAGCAGCTTCATCGGCACACATTTTGTTGCTATTCACAAAGTGGTTCCCAACGGGGGGCAAGTCTGGGTGCTGTGAGGAGCAGGTGAGATTGCCACTTGCTTCAACTGATGTATAAATAACTAGGCTGTTAAGCATAGAGCACGCACTGTACGTACATCACTGTATTTAAAAACAGCAGTTTATTTATTGCATTCAGGTCAAATTTGTTTTTTAATTGTGTTTTTATTACTAAATTACCTAGAGCATTTAACATGTCTGTTAGAGCATTAGTGATGAATAAAGACAGGGAAAGCGTGTAGATTATGTCAGTGCTTCAGTGGAAAAGACCCTGAAAGGCAAAATAGCTTTCAGTACTCATTTAATTTACGCAAGCAACATACAGAAATTTAAATTAAAAATAGTCACTTAAAGGTTTTTTCCAGAGGAAAGACAGACCTGCTTTTCTCTTTTTTTCCTGGTGCTTTATGGGCAGGAGGCAAGTGGGGAGGACTACTTTTAACCCTGTCTACATCCTCCTTCTTCAAAATTGCGTATCAGTTGCTTCATAATAGAAGCAATTGACACGTATGGTCTTAGATACTGTACATGTGTTGTGCATATGCACATATACACACATGGCATGGTTTGATGACTTCGTACCTGCCTGTATGGTGATTTACAAAATCCGTGCTAGGGAAATTCCTGGATACTGGTATGTGTGGTGGAAAAAGTGTAGCTGTGTCCTGTAAAATCTCAGTATCTGCACATGAGAGAACAATTCGTGCCCTGCTAAAACCGGTGAGCTGGCAGGTGCCAGCTGTAAATGTAGCCTATTCTGAAGCCATATTTGGCTTGGATTATTCTTCTGTACTTGGACTGTTGTGGGAACTAACAGATAAAACTTAAGAACAAGGAATTTGGAGTCCTCAGGCTGAAGTAAAAAAATAAGGCGATTGCAAATTTCACTGCTTCCTTTATATATGATTATCTGGAAAGGAGAATTCTAATATGAAAGCTATTGATTGGATTCCTGGCTAGATAGTGCTGCTAGTGGAAAACATTTTAAATTGCCCTGTTTCAGTAGAATGAGGTTAGCAACTGCTCTTGAATAGATGCAGTATTTTTCATGGTATTTTTCTGAACTAGCTTTCACAGTGGATTGCTGTAGAGTCCAACAAAGTAAAACTGCATAGAATCACAGAATGGTTTGGGTTGGAAGCGAACTTAAAGATCATCTAGTTCCAACCCCCCTGCCATGGGCAGGGACACCTTCCACTAGACCAGGTTGCTCATGCATTTGAAACAGAGAAAGACATAGTCGTACTAAGGAAAACAGATTTTTTAAGTTTGATTTTAATATTATCATTAACAGGCTAGTCTAGACTAGACAACAGTTTTGATCTGGACCTCATTGCCTCTCTTGTTTCATTCCCATGTACAGTATACGTTCCAGGCAAGTAACTTGTATTAAAAAACTTGTCATTAGAAATACAACTCGCCTATAGATACTTGACTATCCATTTATAGTTCATTTAAAAATCAGTATTTTCAAAGCAGCCCAGGTGAGATTTATGCTGTTAAGATGTAATTGTGTTTGAAATAAGCTGTTCACAGTCAGGCCAATACATTTTGGCTCAGGACTGAACCCAGTCATGTGTTGAATGGGAAGGGGGGCAGATACAGAATTGCTGCCTTGACATGCTGGGTCATGGAAAATATCAAACGGTGCACACTCACAGCATATCCACCTGTCCCTGAGCTCATTCTTCACCGTTAGAGCTCTGTAGTTAAGTTTCCATTGTGACTTTCACCACTTTAAGAGTACCCGCTTAGCTACGATGCTGAGAAAAATGACACAGAACTTAAAGTGGGCACATCTTAACTTACAGAAAAAGCACATATCTGTTTTTACAGTGCAGATGTTGCACTCTCTTTTAGACCTCTGGACAGAATAATGTTCAGTCATGTGACTTCTTTTGTGAGGGAGCACATTTTTGTTAGTGTTCATTTAAAACTTCTTTGTTTCAAGGTTTTATCATTTTATGAAGCACAAAGATAGGAATTTGAGACAGAGTTACTAGTTGTAGGTCTTCAAGGACAGATTTTATAGTGTGTCTTTACTTAACCTTTGTGTTAAAGCATGGATCATGATATGCTTAAAATACTCTGACAATGAAGTAATGAATAGACACTCATGATCCTTTTACGTACAAACACCTGAGCCAATAAAACCTTTAGAATTTGATCACAATTTTCAGAACATCTGATTTACTTCCCAAACATTAAAGCAGATTAGGAGACAGTCAAAGGATTATTAACTTTAATAAGTTTTAATGTAATGTAATCCCTCTAGACATTGGTGTTCACCTGCCTTTTACAGAAGTGACTGCCACTTCTTGGATTTGTCTGTTGTGTCTGGTTATTACACTCTGAATTTGCCTGTTATCAAGTGAGCGTGTAATTTATATACGGAAATGGATTATATGCTTGTTTCCTAAACTGCTCTAAGCTCCCTGTTCTTTGCTTTAGATTGAAAGAGATTCAGATGAGCGAATATGACGCATCAACGTACGAAAGGTTCTCTGGAGCCGTCCGACGTCAAGTTCAGTCACTCCGCATCATTTTAGACAATCTGCAGGTAATCTTAGATTCCCTGATAAAGGAACATGGTGAGCTCATTACATTAGGCCCCAAGTACTGTCCTGCTAATATCCCGTTACCATCTGGTGATCATACCTTCGAGGGCGAAAGGCAGATTCAGGTTATAATCGTTGTCATTTTACATATGACCAAAATCTCCTATTACTATTTCAAAGGCAGCTTTTAAGTGGATCCCAGTGCTCATCTCTGCAAGTTACGCTATTCCTGTAACACAGTTTACAGGGGTTACTTATTCAGGAGCACAATTTTGTGAAAGAAAATACTGTACGTTATTGAAAGAATATGTGCGGTGTGTAGATCGTAGCCTTTGTCTTTACTGCCTATGCAAAAGACTTTTTTAGCTTAGAAGTGCAAATGCTGTAGATGTTAAAAGAAGCACTCACTCCCAGTCATAGCTTTAGCACACGCTCAGCTGAAAACATGAGTGTTTCTCCGGTTGCTTTTTAACTCTTGCTAATAAAAATAGGTGTAGCCCAAATCTAAGTGGAGGCTGACCAAAACCACCAGTTTGCCTTTCTTCTAGTAACTGGTCCTGTGGTTGTTCCAGATTTTATTAATACTAGTGTTCAGATATGGGGTAAGGAGAATTAAAAGTGCATTGTTTCTAGGAGGAATCTGCTAATCCTCAGTGAAAATTAAAGGAAAATTAATTTCACCCTTTGCAAGACGTCTCTGATTAAAACTACTTCTACAGAAGGCTACCACCACTGGTATACATATACCTTAGTCTATTAGCTAGTCACTGTGCTGTATCTAATCTGTCTCCTTACTTCACCAACAAAGCTTAAATCTAGAAAGAAACTATTTTGTATGATTGGCAGGCTCCTCCTGGGTCAAAAAATCCAATTGCAAGGGAGACAGGTAACGTTTTTCCTTGCTTTACTTATATCTTTAAGCCATTGTGACTACAACAACACTGCTCTAATCACATACATACACGGAGAACCATTAGCTGGTTTTATTGTGAATGTATCAATTCAGCGAATTCCTCATATAATGGACATCTAAGATGGTCATGATTAGGTGATTCGTGCACCTAATATGTGTTTCAGTTCAGGACATAGTTTTTGGCTTGTAAAGACAGGTTTCAGTTGAAAAATTTTAGATAGAAACCTCAGTCTTTCCTACATCGTTTATATCTAGGTGCTTAGTTTATCATGTATCTAACAGGCATGCCATTGGGAACACATTCTAGGTGGGAAGTGAATAAGTGAATCTGCAGTGTAAAGTCTTTTTTTAGTCTGCCTTAGAGACTTGGAGCCAAAATTCTTACATTCAGGGATCACATTAATCATAATCAAAATATAACATATTTGAGTATAAGGAGACATATCCTGTTGCTTTGTTGAAAAGGTCACTTTAATATCAGGACAAAGTCTTATAAGCCTCAGTATTTTATGACACTTTGCTAACTTCCTGTCAGAATCTGTAACAGCTACCCATGGAGCAAGTAAATGTACTTTATGATGAAAAAAACCACCTCACTGAATTTGGAAAAGCTAGCACGTAGAATAAGAGCAATATTGAAAGCTACTTTTTAACTTCAGAGATTTTTATACAAATTTTAGTAGGGTTTTTTTATTAGAAGATGCACTAGGAAAGTGAAGATAAATTATTTCAGGAGTTATGCAGTTGGAAAATGCTTGCTGTTAATTGGGAAGCTGAGTCCAACCATGTTTCATGTTATCTTTTTGAGTAAGAAAAAAAAGTTTATTTGAATTCTTCAGCATGATAAGTCATTCAACCCTGATGAAGGACTATGCCTCTGTCTCCCCTTTTTTTCTGTGTAGTCCTGTGCACACCATAGGTCCTTAGCTAAAGCTGTTCTCTTTCTGTTATCAGTAAGACATTCCTCATTTCTCAGATAAGAAGTCAATGGCACAGTCAGTTGCAATAAAATTTGCAACTCAGGTGTCTGTGTGCTTTTAACATTATGAAAATACCAAATTACCTTCTCAGTAGACAATGCTTTTGGCTTTCTAAAATCTTTGGGTTTGCTTTGTTTCAAGCTCGGTGTTTTCCCAGAATGGAAATAGATTGCCCATGTATGTTTAACTGGGATTTACTTTTCAGTGTAAATTTTACTTTTTATCATTAGGTTTGGGGGGGAGGTTAAAAACGTGTTCCTGTGATGAAATTTTATATCCCAAGAATCAAGAGGCTGGGAATCACATGGTTTCAATGGGATTGTCAATGGTTTGCAAGAATGAGTAGCAGCGGAATGAGAGCTTTGGAATGGGCTGGATATTCCTGATCAGAATATCCTTGAAAGTGATACATACCTCCAGTCTGAGAATGTAATTTCATTGGTCATTTTACTTTCCATAACTCACTAATCTCTGTCAGCTCTTAGAACAGCATTAAAAAAGCGTTATGAATTGTCATTTATCTTCTGTAGAAGTAGCAAAGCCGGAAGTCCAGGAAATCTCCGTCAGTGCTGAGCTTTCTCCTCTCCCCTAATGCTGGCCGAACCCTGAATAACGCTTGTCCGTCTGCACTCCAGATTCAAAAGCTTATGGCCAGTCAGTCACTCAGAAAAACATTCCTAGATTTTAAATCACTTGTCTTCCAGAAGGCACTTCTCTTTATTGGTTATTACAGAGGGAATCTGGGGCAACTGTCCCTGTAGCTTCTGAGCATCATTTAGCCACCTACGTTGAAACTGGGCAAACCTGAGCCTGAGTCACTGAGCCTGCTGGGGCTGTGTCTGATTTAAGCCGTGTGGGAACTGTCTGGTCATAGCAGTAAGAATAAAGTCGTGGCAGTCCTATGAGAAACACGGCTCAGAGAGCTGATGCTGTGGAAAACCCTGTGTCCCGTCAGTAGCAGTTCTCTGATTTCAGCAGCTGAGGGAACATATGCATAATGCTTTCCCAGAAATAAATGCAGACCAAACTGGCAGTATTCCATACCATCCTATACCATTACGTATTTAGATGTGATGGCTTCACACAGACAGCCTTTTCTGTGGCATTTACAGACATCACAGTTCTGTTTCATGGGATTTTTTTTTTGTAAATACGCCTTTGATTTCTTTCAGTGCAAAGAATTACTGGAGAGGTGTATTGTGATCAGCCATTGCCGTGCTGATAAGATATGGTATCTAGCATATTTTTCTAATTTCAAAACCAACACAATGAATATATATACAATTTATTTTTTTCAATATGGTTGCAGTATATTGCAGTAGTAGTGGGTTGTATGCCCTTTCTAGTAAAATATCAGTGAGTTATATATGTAATAGTTCTGTTTTCCTCTTAAAACTGTAAATGCTTTTAAACCTATATTGCTTTTAAGCTTATGAAATTATATATTGAAAATGCTTTGAAGCTTTTCTGTAATACTGTATAACACACATGGTTAAAAAGATTTTTTTTCCCCAGCTTTTATAAAAGGAAATAAATTCTTAGGAATTCCTCATAGAAGGGGCAGATGCTAAGTAGTCTAAACAATTTTAGCACTGCTTTGGAAAGAGGTTAGGTCAGATTTTGTCAGCATTCTTTCCTGTTTTAGGAGAGAATGTCAACTCTGTGTTCCTCCAGTAAAATTGCAGCTCAAATGCTGGCTTTTATTGCATAAGCTTCAAAGGGTATTAAATGGTTTTTCATAGAACCACAGAA